CATTCCTGCAGAAGCTTCACGTTAACACTATCCGGTCAAATCTTACATGATATGTCTACTGAGAACCAAAGAAAGGCAGCGATGCAAATGGAGAATGTGCAAGCAGAAGATAGTATTAAAAAATGCGGGGAATTAGGGAAATACACGAAGGAAATGGTTAGGGGTGTGTGGAAAAAAGGCGGTCAAACTACACTTTGGCCAAACGTGGATGAACATGTACGTCGTCCAACCTTTCACAACCTGTTTGAAGATATGAAGAAACAAGATGTTGCGGCCTCTGGTATGGTCGCAGTCTCCTTTCGATTGATTTAAGTGGGTTGACCTCGTTGTCGCAACTTTGTCCTGTTGTCAGGGCGACTATGTAGAACGCAACTAGTCCGAAATCGTCTGCCATAGTAGTTGTCATGATTCCCAGCATCTGACAGTGGACCTGATGCACGCACCTAGTCCGAAGTCTTCTGCCATAGTAGTTGTCATGATTCCCAGCATCTGACAGTGGACTTGATACATTCCCAAACGTTTCGCCGGCATCGTAGTCGGCATCATCAGTGAGTTTTGCCATTCGCCGCACCAAGCTACGAACTCGTTTTCGCCGGCATCGTAGTCGGCATCATCAGTGAGCCTTGCCATTCTCCGCACCAAGATACGAACTCGTCAAAGATACAAGTAAGGTAGATAAAGTAGATAGATAGACCAGGGCAGAAAGAGGAGTGATAGTGTAACCGTTTCCAGCAGAACGGTTGTCGAGGGATTGACATTACTTGTCTCTTTGACGGAGAATGGCAAAGCTCACTGATGATGCCGACTACGATGCAGGCGAAACGTTTGAGAATGTATCAAATCCACTGTCAAATTCTGGGAATCATGAAAACGACTATGGCAGACGACTTCGGACTAGGTGCGTTATACATAGTCGCCCTGACAACAAGACCAAGTTGCGACAACGAAGTCAACCCACTTCTTCTCCTGTTTGTTATCCAGCATCGTCAAGGAGAGGCATCATCATGCAGCAACGGATTACGACACCGGCGGATGATGCTGGTTGAGGTACTTTTTATGTCTTTAGGTAACTCCCTTCCTAATCTCATCTCATCTCATCTCATCTCATCTCATCTCATCTCATCTCATCTCATCTCATCTCATCTC